GCAGGACAATGTGATTTTATGTCTTACTGTTTTTTTTCTTTAAAGCAATTTTTTTGAATGGCCCGAGCGGGCAAGTGGAAAGTACGTTATGCTGGCCCGGGGTGTTTAAATAGTGCATCCGGGCCATTTATAATGTCTAGCCCTGCATATATTTGAACACATTTTCCACAGAGAAGGGAGATATTTTGAATAACATAAGTGAAAGTACAAACACAAGACAGCAACTTATACAATAAATAGATGTATGTCAGTATTAATAGAGCTTTCTTTGGCTGTAAATACCCTAAGTACGCCGGTGTGAGGCGAGTGAGCTGCTGAGCCGTGGTTGTTGCGGCAGTGATGCTCAGCATACCCTCCGAGTCACATTTCTCCCAGTCATAAGGGTCATTCTCCAGCACACTGTGACTCTTCATAGCGTTTTCAAACACTGACATCAGGTGCTGTCGCAGAGAAAACCACAGGCGTCAGCATTTCACAGCTGTAGAGGAATAGACAGTGTGTGCAAAATAAACCAAACAAGACATGGCCAACCTGATAGTCTGGCTTAGTGAAGTAGTCCAAGGTCAAGATGTGATCCAGGAAAGCACAAAACTCTGAGGGAAGGTGCTTCAGCATGAGTCGGTGGTCATACGTATCTTTTAGGTTTCCTACTTGTTCCTGAGAGCAGAGAGGCGGTAATTACAATATGAATTAAACACATGCTGATAATTAATAAACCATACAGACAAGAATGCATTGAGGCGCCTACTTTGTCTTTGATTTTCCTCCAGGGAAGCTGACCAACAGTGAACTCAACCAGCATGTAGAAGAGGGACCACAGGTCGTCATGTCGACCCATTTCCTACAAATTACGATACGCAAATGTAAGTAAGGTCAAGGGTAAAACTAAATATGAATAGTAGAATATAATGTTTGTCTGTGCTTACCTTATTCTTATGAGCATTGATTGAAGCATATCGCACAGTTCCTCTGAAGCCTGCCACCGGACGGGGCTATGGGAGAGAATAAAGAAATCATTTAATAAAGATATGGTCGAATAGATTAGTTAGCATTATGAGGTATTTATAAAAAATGTGTTAAAGGGAACTGGCTTTATTGTTTAAATCTGAAATAAATTGCCAATCCAAGACCCTTTTGGGATGGTCACACACTGATGTCTCATGGGGTCATTAAGGTGAAGCAGTGGAAGTTGATGTGACGTTAGGGCTGCTCGATTATGGCAAAAATCATAATCTCGATTATTTGGGTCAATAATTGATATCACGATTATTAAAAACGATTATCCATTTACTTTGAAAACATCAATTTATTGGAGAAAACAAATGTGAACAGTATGTTTTTAACAGTTGATTACCCTGAACTTTAAGTATAATTCAACTGAAAAACCAATAAAAAAAAATAAAAAATTGAAAAAAGAAAAGTAATAATAATAATAAAGAAATAATCGTTTTATTTCGATTACATTATTTTCGTAATCGTTGCAAGCCATAATCGTAATAGCGATTAAATTACGATTAATTGAGCAGCCCTATGTGACGTTAGATGAAATTAATTCTAATTTATTGTGAAATGTGTATATTTATGTGCCTTTAAATAAGTGTTGAGGTCTCCCTAGTGCTGTAAGTAAAGTAATATAATATCGTATCAGAGTTTCATTTTATTGTAATAACACTTTTCTGTGTTAACATACTACACCAAACCTCTAGGACTACACTTTAAACAGCTTCTCCAACATGAAATAACTTGTGGGATCTTTGAAAATAAATAAATAAATACATTGCAGGAAATTGACGCAGTATAGTATTACTTACTGGACGGACTTCTTGGCTGGAATTGGTAAATTGGCGGGCCAAGCCGAAATCAAGCATATAACAGCATCTGCAGGTACTGGCTAGCCTTCCCATTGCAAAGTTGGACTACAATTTTAACAACACAAAAAAATAACAAGCAAGTTAAACAATAAACTGACTGTCATTTAAATGTACAAACCGTACAGTGTCTTAGGTGAACTTACGGGTTTGATGTCTCGGTGCAGGAAGCCTACAGAGTGGATGCTTTCAATGGCCTCTAAAATCTGTTTGCCAAGTCGCAAAGTTGTGGAGACGGAAAAGGTGCCGCGGCTCATGGTTCTTCGCAAATCCGCAAGATTCCTCCCCTTAAGAAAATAAATCAGTTTTCAGTCACAGAGTGATGGTCAGCAAAAAAAACTTGACTAACAATGACTGGTTAAAATCCTACCTGGAGTTCCATCACCACGTAGTTGAACCGATCATTTCGGCCACAGCCCACAAAGCGGCACACGTGGTCTTTGCCTGTCAAATAAATATACGCTGTATAAATACAAATGTTGATTTCCTGATTCAGTGAAATCAGTGCTGATAAATGTCAGAATGAGTAAGTTATTCAATCATTGAATTCAAACAAGTTCCTCAGTTGGATTCCGACACAACAGGGCTACTTTTTTGTTGTTGATACAAAAACAAAGACCACCACCACTGCTTATATTGTCAATATGTTTTATTAAAAGGTGCACAATTTGTGTATCTGCTCTGTGTTTCGGATCAACTGTAATGTAATGGATCATTCTTGGCTCATGCTACAGCCTTCCAATAGGTTTAATGAAAGAGTGCTAGTAGCTTTTCCCTTATCCTGCTGACGGACAAATAATCAGACCGAATCAAAACTTTGCCAAGGGTAATAAAACATTAATCTTCATGGAAAACGCAGAGAGGTCATACAAGCTAAATGCAATGTGTGAGTTTGGTTATTGCTAGGCCCTTATAGTATTCTTATTAAATTGACAAAAAGCACGATAATGTGGGGAGATAGCACTCCATCACTGACAAATGGACAGCATCACTCACCCTGAAGTTTCTTCAGCACAGCCACCTCCATCTTCAGCACCTGCTTGGGTTGTTGAGCAGACTCCACCTTTAAGGCAACAGTGGCCTGGCTCAACTGATCCAGAACCTCGTAGATCTCCCCAAAGCCGCCTCCACCTATCTTCCTTGTCTGCAAAGAAGATCATATTCATTGTCAACCCAGTGTCATCTGTATTTTTTTTCAACCTGATTTTGTGATTTTTCTTACCACTTTCCATCTGTCTCTGACCACGTCTGCCACTGACAGGATGTCAGTGTGCTCTCCAGTCCCACTCATCCTGAGAGCTCTCAGCTACAGCCTGCACCTGGCATCAGTGACGCAAGCCCCTCACTGAAAACACATTTTAGAATGCATGTCCATTTTATCTTCGAAAATCTCTGCACACTGAATGCCTCTGTGCATGCAAACATCTAAGGAGGAAGCATTACTTGTTAAATGTTTGAGTGGCCGACAGAAACATGTGGGGCAATACCATTTAAACTGCTGCAAAGGTTAGCTAACGTTACACCTCACGTCTCAAAGGCTCATTCAGGAAAAAGCTCAACAAAGCTGAATTGTCATACAAAGATAGCAACTGGGATAATTTGACTCTGTGCCAAACACACAACCACGACTAGAGCAGCAGCAATCTCCTCTCATAAATGGCCATAAAGCAGTCGTTTGAGAGGATTAGTCGTTAGGAAGCTAATCTAGCTAACTGAAGGCTTTCAATGCGGCGCGTCCGGTAGTCCAGTAAACAAGCTAACTAGCTTAGCGTGTTTACTAAAGATACCCTCTTGTCCTGACCCCTTCTTACCTCGCTTCGTTGCACCATTGGATTCCCAGTTAAAATCCAAACAGTCCCCATGTTCCGTGCCTGTTGCTAGTCAGCCATGTCATTCCCAGTAGTTGTTTATTTTGGAAATTAGATAATAATAGTGATGGACCATAGCTGACGTTAGCCACAGTTAGCCAGCTAGCCTGCTAATGGATGTGCAGTGATGCCCCGTGCTCTGCCTCACAGCGCTCTGACGTCACAGCGCTAGTCTCTCCTGATTGAGCCGCAAACTCCTGCTGCTGCATCCTCTGAGGAGCAAACTCTGCAACACTTTTCACATTACAACACTGTACAGACAAACTACATGTGGTCCAAATACAGCAATGCATATGTGAATGAACACTGCATTGCAAGCATTGTTGGTCACCTATTTGTGGTGTGTTTTGTCGAAACATACAGCATTAGCGTGGCAGGGGCGTTGCAGTACATTCTGGTAGTCCTTATAAAATATTAATAAACATTCACCCCACCACTCCTCACCACCACCTCTTAGTGGCGCTCCCAGAATGTGTGGCAGATGAGGCCACTGACAATCTTTGGGTGCCAAAACCAAAAGCTGAGACTGAGCTTTAGGAATTATATTTTTGCTTTATTAATATTATAGTTGTATCCCTATTAGACTGCTAAACCCCTGAGCTCTGGCCTTCACAACTCCGTAACATTTGCATCTCACATATGTATCTAGTATTATTACAATAAGCAGTCTTTTAATTCACTGTACAGCATGTATGTTTAGCTTATTCTATGTCTATATTAGTAATAAGACTATCTCTTCTCTTTTCTGAGATTAATGTATTTGTATGCATGATCCTTGTTTAGATAAATACATAAATATTAAGAAGTTCAGCCATACTCTGTTACAGCACATTTTGACTGAAGATTGTATTTAAGTACACAGGTATTAGCAATTAACATTCCATAATAGGAAGTAACCTAAGTAGATCATTAAACATAGAAGTGTTTTATTACTGACTTTGCCATATAGCTCAAATTCTTTCTTGAAAATATGATAATGATCTTTGAAAAAAATTAAAATATTATTAATAAAAACATAAATGTTCATATATTTTGTCAACCATTTAAAAAAAATCCAATAGAAGTTCAATGTTATAGCAGGTCTCAATATATCTCGCCACAGTTCTCGGGTATTTTACAGACTGTTTCCGTGTTATGAGCTCTCAGTCTATGGTTATGAGACTCCGCTTTCCGGGCAGCCGGGACAGTAAAACAAACGGACACGGATACAGCATGGGAGTGGCCAGACGATCGGATTGGATAACAGGATGTGAGTTTTGCTGATTTTGGGTGAGGCGGTGCGTTCTGGGGTGCACAACTTTCTGCGTGTTTGCGCAGTTTCGCAGCGCTTCATATACTCTGGATAAACCTAAACACAACATCTGAGTCCGCGGGGCTCGTGTGCAACGTGTTGAAATCTCCGGAAATACCCGAGCAGGCCGCTGCACGGCACAGTTTCCACACACTCCCCGTCTCATGTGTGCTCTACTCGTTTATGCGGGGAGAAAGTTGTGGACATTTTTTTTCTTGGAGTGCATGGTTTCGCTGATCCAGTGTGCAACTGTGTAACTACAGCGTTAATGAGCCTCGCCAGCCGGTCCGGATTTTGGATTATGTGCTATTGGGATTGTAAACTCGCTTGTTCGCCCTATTGTGCGCTGTGAAACTCGAGGGAAAGTTGTCAGAGTTATGACATTTGCTGCGCACAATCCCTTCATGGAGCTGCATGTAGTCGACTTGGATCGAAACCAAAGTGACTCCATGGAGCTGGACATAGAGAGCTCCGTGCACCATTAATAAGGTATATGCACTAGTTTTGACTCATGCTCACTATTCTGTTGTATTGCCTAATAGCTCTCAAGACGCTTCCTTATTGCAGTTTTTTTCTTTACATAACATCACTGGCTATCGCTCGGGTGATTGCATGTGCCCCTCCGTTTCCTGTATTTCTTGTTATGCCAAATGGCAGCTGCATAGTCAGCGCCACCTTGTTGCTGTCGTCTCAAAACTTCTTCAGTGTATGCGTCCTGTCTGCACGCACTGTACCTTAACATCGATTACATAGGTTTTGATCACAAGACATGCTCTCTGACTGAGTTTCACTTTACTCACTGCTGGGCTAGTCACTCGTGTAGGCCCCAGTTTCATTTTTGCTCCATACCAGTTGAAACGACTGAAAAGTTTGTGTGCTTGTCTTCAGATACAAATAAAGTGTCTAACCCCTCCTTTCTCTCACAAGGTCCGGCACCATAAAGAGGATGAGAAGAAAGAACAGCAAACCTCAGATTTGATTCTGGAAGGAGGGTTGCATGCTCCCCACCCTGCACTTTCCTTTGGGATTTATATTTCCTCCCAATCACCTCTGTATACACAATTAAACAAAGAGTTCCTCGACCTCAGGCAGTCAAAGCACACTACAGAGGCAGTACCAGTTTGAGAGCTCTGACTCCAACATTACCGTACAATATTAGTATGAGTCTTCCCTCTCAAGTTAACACTGACAAGAGCGGCAAGCTTCGGGCTGCAGCCATGAAAGAGTCTGTGCAGCATTCAGGGGATGTTTATTATGGGATGGGACCTCCGGCTTTAGAGCCAAGCCACAGTGACTCTGCTAGCAGCTCGGCTGTTTACAACCCCGAGAAAGGGCCCCAAAGTTTACCGCACTATCAACAGGCTGCTCCAGTAAAGTGGATGCACCAGGAGTCCGTGCAGGCCCCCGGCTGGTCTCAGGAAGCCCCTGCTCAGGCCTGGGGGCAGAACTTTGGCCCCTATATGGGTGGAGTGAATGCCAGGGGGCAGATGGCATTCCACAAGGGGGTCCATGAGGGTGTAGCTCTGCCAATGGGGGGAGAAAGTCAACTGCCAGGAGGACCTATTGAGGTTTACAGAGATGCCCCCCAGGCACAAGCTCAGGGTAGGGGGCTGGAGTGGGAGCAGCACACAGCGGCTGCAATGCACCAGGCTCAGCTGCAAGTCTATCAACATGCCCACAAAGGCGTGGAGGTCCAGGGTCAGCCCCACGCTCCTCCTCCTCCTCACACTTTGCAGGGACCCATGCTGCAGCCCTTCCAGACAACATTTAGGCCCAGCAAGCAACAGTTTTCATCAGGTTATTACTCTGTTTTTCCAGGGAACAAGGGAATACCAAACCTGGCGTACGCCGAGCAGCCTAAATCTCAACAACAGCAGCTGCTACACCAGATGCAACAGCAGCAACAAATGCACCAACATCAACGCCACCAGCACCAGCACCAACACCAACAACAACAACAACAGCAGCAGCAGCAGTTGCAGCAGCAGCATCATCTTCAGTTGCAACAGCAGCAACATTTGCAACAACAGCGGCACCAAATCCAGCAGCAGCAAATTCAACAGCAACAACTGCAGCAAATGCAGCAGCAATATCACCAGCAACAGATTCAGGAGCGACAGCAACAAATTCAGCAAATGCAACAACAGCAACAACAAAACGTGACGCAGAAAGAAACAACACAACCACAGGTGCAACCAAAACAGCAGCAAACCCAAAACGTTGTCCCGTGTCAGCCCCCTGAGCCCAGTCCCCCAGACACCGCGCCTAAAAAGGAGGTCCAGTCACTGGGACCAGGAGCTCAGACCTGTGACTCATCACCCGTACCTGATCCATTCCCTGAAAAGGGCTCCACAAATCCTGCTGAGCCTTCAGATACAAAGTCGGCGGCACCTAGGCGTTCCCGTCGCCTTTCCAGAGAAGGACAGTCTCCACTGGGACCCCCCTCAACAAACATTTGGTCTCAAGCATCCAAAGATCCTGCACTACCCCACAACGGGGTAGCAGGCACTCAGGTGGTGAAAGGAGGGGAAGTGACAACAGAAGGGGTCATCCGTAGGAGAAGGAGGGCGTCTAAGGAGATCAACTTGGAGACTCTGGCCCAGAAGGCGTCAGAGATGGAGTCCATGCCTCCCAGAAAGGTCTTTTTATTGCTCTACAGCTGTGTTTAACTTCCATGTATGGCAGTGCTACAGTAAAATAGCCATTTAAATACTTTTACGTTTTAGGCTCAGTTTAGTTGAAGAAGAAAGACATGTGCAGCTTATTTGTGCATTTTCTCAGCTGACTAAGTTAGCAAGCAGCCGCACAAAGAGGAAGAACCCTGTTTCAATGCAGGACTTCCCCATGGTTTACAAAATGATTTTCTAGAGTGTGTTAAGTTGATTCGAACAGCTGTCGCGCCTCAGCTATAACAGGCTGTTGAACAAGTGCAAAGTCATACTAAACATGACATCTAGATAATGGTGCAACCTGAAAAACAGCCATTATCAAAGGTTGCTCAGATTTTATCGCTGCAAGAAAGACGAATTACTTTACGCTGCTATTCAGGATTCAAAATGTTGACATTGTGAGTGGCACACCCTGAAACCTGCTTCTTTCTTTTCTCAAGAGCAGCTTTGTTAGAAATGCACTAAGCACAAAAACGAGAAGCTCTGTTTAGAGGGATTTCTTAGCTCAGGGAATTTTTTAGTACCCTGCCTCCGGGGGGTTATCAGGCTTGTCGTAGGTAGGTTTTTGTGCAAAGTGTGCATGCTGGATTTACAGTTGGAGCAGCTGCATGTCTGCACACCTCCACATTCCTCAGGCGCCTTCCCAGTCATTCAGCAGAGCCAGGGAGGGGCTGCGCTGTCACCCTGCACAGCTACACTCCTCTACCTGTCAACACACCCAAAACAGGTTTAATATTGTAGGTACAACCCAGAACTGCTGCTATGTGGTTAGCTAACAGCACTTTTGAGGGTGAGGAGATGATATTCAAATGTCTTAACTTAACTTTGCATGCAGTATAAATCACAAAAGAGATTTATGTGTCTTATCACTTTGACTAAACATACCAGGGAGGCGTCTACAAGGCTCGGAATACCAAGGAAATATGAAGTAATATAACAGCTGGATCTTAAATTTAGGACTTTCTCAGTGTTATTTTATTTAAATAAAATATTGTCTAAATTCTTCATGCTTCAGTTTTACCGTTGAAAGACAAAATAATTCATCACAATGTTTACTAATATTAATCTATAATGAAAATATTCTGAAATTGTAGTCTTATAAACAACAACATGGATACTTTCATTCAGGGTGAAAATGACTTACTGATTTAGTTGATTTTAACATTTGATTCTCACACCATCTCCATACTTTCTATCTCAATCCATATTCAATTTGCTCTGCTCTCCTCCCATTCTACCTGTTATCCTCCTGTCTCTTTGTGTTGGTGCCTCAGCATGAAGAGGGTTCTTTAGGCAGACAGGCCAGCATGATGCCTCTGGTCATGCCTGTGTCAGTGCCAGTGCACAGGAGTCCAACAGATCCTCAGGGTGCCTTAAATCAGGGACGTGTCGGGGGGCCTGAGAAACCGGCAGGACAGACCCTCAGCAAACCCTCGGTCATTGTGGCTCGTCGAAGATCACTCAGGAAATCCATCAGCGAGAGTTTTGGTCAGGTTAGTATTGATAGGAAACAACATTGGCATCACTTTCTTTTTTTGCTATGATTTATGTCAGTGTTAGCAACTTGTAACTACTTTGATAAGTCTTCTAAGGTGCCAGTAGTGGTACATATTCACACTTCTGGTTAGGCGGTTATCAAGTGAGTAATTTGGAGATAAATGTTGGAGGAATGTGACAATGTTTTGCAAAGAACATAAGTTCAATGGTCCAATCAAATGTTGGAAGACTCCATGTAAAAATAAGAGTGACATTTAATGTTCTATCTTTTGAAATTCCTGGTTGATTTGGTAGAAGTTGTTTGTATAAAAAGTGTAATCTTTGCAACTGCCAAGCAAGTAGTTTTCCACACCTTGTAGCCTGCAGCCCTTAATCTAACGTAATGTATCCAGGTGTTTTATTACTCCGTGCAGTACTTAAAACTGATCCGCTGTCGGAAATAGCAGATTTTATTTTACATACAGCAAATACAAGTGCTTGATGCTCAGTTGTAGCAGAATGTTTTTTACTTTTCATTCGACTGATATCAAAGAAAACAACTTAAATCCTAAATATTCTGTCTAGGAAGGGGAAAACGATCCAGGGACGGATGAGGAAGGAAAATCCAAATTAAAGCGCCGGCCTCGCCCCGAGCCTCTCATCATCCCTCCACCCAAACCAGCCACTTTCATCCCTCCCTCCCTCTACTCCAGCATCTCTTCTTACCAGAGCAACCTGCGCTCCCCGGTCCGCATGCCGGACAACCCCCTCACCATGCCGCCCTACACGCCCCCCCCCATCCTGTCTCCTGTGCGCGGGGGCTCGGGACTTTACTTCTCCACCTTCCTGACCAACATCGCCAGCAACCAAATTCTGCCGCCACCGCCACATACGCCCAAATCTGCGACCCGCAGTCTGTTGCGCTCCAGTAAGTCTCACATTTGAGGATGATCTGAGAAAAATTCTACTGATGGGATTAGATTTCATTCAACTTTATTGTCATTGCACCGAGTATACATTCGTATTAAGTCAACAAAATGAAGTTTGCAACCAACCAGAAGTGCAAAAAAGTAGTAAAGTGCAAAGTGATGTCTAGTATAATATAAATATAAACATCTGACAGTATTTACCCCGTGAACAGTATAAGGCTGTATAAACATTACAAACAGGAGTGTAGAAAATAAATACACTATAGATCAGGTATAAATAAGATTGTATTGTGTCTGTAATATACTGAGTAAATAGGAATATATTATATATTGTTATTGTCATTTTCAAATGCTAAAAATAAATATGAGTATGCCATAGAAAAATATAGTTGTTTGGACAGTTTTGAGGCATTGACAATGCTTAAAAAGGAGATTCCTTTTTCTGTATTTTTGCAGCAAGTTCAGATATCACGCCTCCTGTTCTTTCCTCTTCCTTGATCACGGATTCTACAACTGCTAGCCTTGAACCGTAAGTACAGACACCGGACTCTCAAGGTTTTGAATATCTGGGCCAAAAATGAACCAGAACCCTTCTTTCGTTTTTACTTGTTCAGACGGATAAACATCGGGCCGCGGTACCAGGCAGAGATTCCTGACTTACGTGACCCAGCTTCCTCCCAGTTTGACCAGCACAAGGCGGACGTGGTCTGGCTCACTATAGATGACTCCAAACTCAAACACGGTGACCAAGAGTGCAGTCAGTGTCTCACATCAATCAGTCTGCCACTAGTTGTCGTTTCCATTTTATTCTTGTTAGTCCTTTTTAAATTCTTGTCATTTTTTCTGTTTTGTTCTAGTGGAGGATTTTATGAACATGGCGTGTTGCAGTGTGCTCAGGGGCGGAGGAACCAACCAGGAACTGGTTTTACACTGTTTTCATGAATCCGGGGGAGATTTCATTGTAAGTTTAGTGACTCATATCCCCTCGCTGAAGTTTGGCAGCAGAGTCTTAAAAACTTCTTTACGAAAATGCATTTTTACTTTACTTATATTTTCACTGCAACTTCGTACTTTTAAGGTTAACTGTGATTTAAAATGTTTATTACAAGGAAACACTGGAACGTTTGATGCTTCAGGACCCAGTGTTTCCCAAAGATCATCTACTGGCAGGTTATCACTACTCAGGTGAGCTTTGACTTTATAGGCCAATAAAAGCTATATCATGTTAATCATTGCAGTACAATCCCGTGGTTTCGTCCTCTTACTCCGTCTGTGTCTGATTGGCTAACGTCTCTTTGAATATTTCCTCTTTTGTTCTGTGTCTGATTCACTCCCAGGCTCTGACTGCTGGACTGCAGAGGAGAAGCGCTACTTCAATAAAGGGATCTCTGCCTACAGGAAGGACTTCTTTATGGTGCAGAAACTGGTACGCTCGTTCATTTGACCCTACAGCACGAACCATTATGAATCAATGTCAATAAATATGAAGTACATTTAAATGTGTTTGTTTCAACACCAATAAATCATTAGCACAATATGCAAGTTTTGAGGCATTGGTATAACTGCTTTAAACAAAAAGGACAAAAATACAGATTTTCTGTGTGCATTTTACAAAAAGAGGCGTTATTATGATGTAATGGAAAATGTTTCACACACGGTTGTAAGACGTAATGACTTCCAAACATGCAAAATTAGACTAATTAGAAAAATGTGTTAATGCGGTTTTCATTTCACAGACTGCCTCTCCCCTTAAGCTTGTTTGTATTTATATTGTTTTACAATATGTACACAGATGATTTTGTATGTAATTGTAAGATGGTTAATTGATTACATAGATCATACATGTGTATTCTTTTTGCGTCTGAATTTAAAGGTGCAGTCCAAGACGGTGGCTCAGTGTGTTGAGTTTTACTACACGTACAAGAAACAGGTGAAGATCGGTCGCAACGGGATTTTAACCTTCGGCCCTCTGGATTCACCGGACGAGAAGCACACCGATGCTGTGGTGGACGTAAAGGTAGAGTTTATTTCTTCTTAAGTGATGTGTGGTAAAGCCTTAAATCAGTTTATGCTACAGAATGTGTTTGTTTAGTATTTTCATCATTTTTAAGCCTTGGAGATGTTAAAAGGGATTGTTTACCCCAAAATCTAAAATACATATTTCTCTTCATACCTTTTTATAAACCTTGATTGTTTTGGAGTGAAAAAAGAGCTCCATAAGTAAGAGAGAAATGTATATATTGTTGATTCTGGGCTTGCTCTTTAAGTTTGTATTTTGAAGGTTGTTCTATTCATTTGTGCAACGATCTTATATTTTTGTAGTGTGACACGATTCAGACTTCACAGCAGTCAAATGTAACTCAAGGACAGACAGATGGAGACGACAAGAAGGATGTTTCCTACGGGAGCAGCCAGCAGGCACTACAGACTCATGACTATGTAAGTTAGTCACTACATATTCTAGTAACTTCTCGGACTTGCATTGACTAATAGCACACGGCCTTTCTTTAATTGATGTAAAAACTGTCAAACTAACACCTTCTTCTTCCTGGTGCTCCAGGCAGGGACAGTGCTGGTGATCAAGGAGCCGCACCCGGTGAAACAAGAGGCTCCACACGCAGCCACACCTTACAGGCCGAGAGCCGAACCTGCCGCCAAGAAGCCACGAGCGCCACCGAAGCCTCCAGTCGATCCTGACGCAACATTTCCATGCAAGAAATGTGGAAGGTAAGCCTGAATCAAGAGGAAATCACTTTGTCCTTGTTCATAATCTAGACTGTGATCTGTTGTCTGGATTTTGATTTAAAGGGGACCTATCATGCAGAAAAGCACTTTTTGATGTCTTTTACACATAAATATGTCCCCCCGGTGTGTCAGGGAACTCACGCAGCGTCAAAAAATAAAACCCTCTCTCTTTTCCACCGTACCCAAATCTCTAAAAACGGGGGGAAAATGAGCGGATACAGATTTGCGTCCGAAATGACGTCATATCGGCAATGCGGACCCACAGCACTATCGGAAACAATGCCCGACTGTTTTGGACGTAATATGGTTGGTGTTTACATTAGCATCGCTAACGACCAGAGCTAACCTGTACTGGAGAGAGTGTGTGAAGAAGCAAGAAATAAAAAGGAACTCACCTTGTGGTATAACCGGTAAGAGAGAAAGCCTTTGAGCTCCATACTGTTTCAGAAATAATCCTTGATCTAATAATCCTTGCGTTTCATCACCGCAGCATTTTAGACAGTATCTGCCTGGTCCAGCATNTTGTGGTATAACCGGTAAGAGAGAAAGCCTTTGAGCTCCATACTGTTTCAGAAATAATCCTTGATCTAATAATCCTTTTGTTTCATCACCGCAGTATTTTAGACAGTATCTGCCTGGTCCCGCATGAGCCGGCATAAGATCCGCCCCCTCTTGAAGAAAAGAAAAGCTTAATTTTTGTATTCAGCCTTTTATTTATACAGGTGAAAATGTCATTGAGACACAGCGTCTCATTCTCAAGAGAGACCCGTTTATACCCAGAATCAGCACTTTTGTAACAGGAAGAGAAATAGAGGGATATGAGGCATGGCTAGAATGGGTGATCTGTTTGGTTTTTAGACCAAAACATTTCATAGACATGTTTTTTATATTTTTTTATATATCTGAGACCTATGCTATTGCCTAAATTTAAAAATAGCATAATAGGCAGTGGTGACTGGTCATTAGGGGCACAGCCCCACCTAGTGTCAGCAGAAAGTTCAATTCAAATAAGAATTAAAAAAAATGCAAATAAATGCATCTTAAAATATATTTTAAGATCATGTTTAATCATCTGATTCGTCTGCACATTGCTGTTTTAGTCTGTGTTCTTCTAATTAGTGTCTACAGTGTGCCTATTGAGCCGTTTTGAGCGACGTGGGTCAAGCCCAGATCTAGCCCCTCTCTCTCACTGTCTCAGTGAATGGGTGCTGTAAAAACTACACTGTGCATGCTCAGAGTATTTTTCTATAAAATGTGTGCGGCAAAAAAATAATCACCATAGGGAAGTGGTTCTCAAACCTTTTCTGTCAGGCCCCCCCTTTGGAGAAAAAAAAAAGTCGGACCCCCCCCAACACAAATAGTCAGGCTCAGTGGCGGCGCCAGAGATTTATTTTGGGGGTGCTGTGGGGTAGCTTGACGTTTCACAGAGGTTGCTCAAACAATTAGGGTTTCCCATTAATGTACCGGTCGCTATAGTGGAATTTTCTACTGCAGCACTCCCCACATACACAGTGTACCCGCGACTGTTACAATGAAGGCTCGATAATCAGCTCTCAGCATATAGGTGAAAGCAGTGGTAAAGTGCTATTTTTATAGGTGGTGTGTGGACCTCTATTGGGAGGGTCCGGGGGCAAGCTCCTCCGGGAAGATTTTTAAATATTGAAGTTAAAAGCATCAATCTGGTGCACTTTGAGAGCAAAAATGAAGAGATCTATGGATACATCTCTCAACACAGAACTGTAAACAGATTTATTATTTCTTTATGGATATTTTACAAATCACTCCCCTTTTAAACTTTATTCATTTTTTAATGTCATATAGTATTTCATAACTGTTTTTAATTTATTCTCTTATTTTTTTATAACTATAATGATCATATAAACGTGTGCCTCGGAAATAATTGTTTACATTAATGGTGACCAAAACGTTTGAGACCCACTGAGATAACACTGAGAGTCCTTTAGCTCACTGAGTCTCTCAGTCTGACAGGAGAGGACTCTCCTCCACTTTGTTGTTGAAAAAACTCCTTATATCCGTTAGCGTAGCTCGCTAGCACCAGAAGCTCACAACAACGATCTCCGGTACCGGTGCGCTCTCTCTCTCTCTCTCGCTCGCGCACACAAAATGGCTCTTCCCACACACACACAGAGCCAAGCTTTAATGAAACACAGAAACCCAGACGTAATAGTACTGTATCATATATATGTTTGTTTTTTAAAAATCTTTTTTAAATTTAATTTTTAATAACCATTTTTCCTCCTGGTCTCTCGCGCCCCCCCCTGTGATGCCTCTGCACCCCCCTGGGGGGTGCGCCCCCCACTTTGAGAACCATTGCCATAGGGGCACTGTGCTGGCATATCTACAAAACGTCATCTCATTATTCAGAGAGCTGATTGGCTGTAAGTACGTGTGCCGCGCAAAGTGTAGTTTTCACCTTGTAGTGAAGAGCGATTAAAATCAGTAAAACGGAAAGAAAATGAATGAAGTTGACCATCTACTTCAGCTTTGGTAAGTTCATTTTATGTCATGTCTTTAGTTGATCTTCTGTGTTTTTCCTATAGGCTATTACTCTGCTGGATCGATTGATATTGTGACCTCTGTCTGTGTTTTCCTTATACCCGGACCCCCCCGCCCCCTCTCTCTATCGGAACCATGGATTGCTTACAGCCATGTGTTTACGTGTTTAAAAAAGCACCAGAAGCATATATATACACATCTAAGTTGTTCCTGCCCCACCACTTTTGTACATATCAAAACGCCACTGATGATTGGTGACCTTTAAATCTCCATCTCTTATGGTTTTTTGATCACCCGGTATTTCACTGTCACTAATGTTTTAAAATGTGTATGTGTGTGTATGTCGCTCATCTGGTTCAACTCATTGTGTTGATAAAAAAATAGCGAAACCCAAATTTGACAAAGATAGATACAATAGGACATGTGTAGATGTGTTCAAGTAGCAATTCAGATAAATGTATTATGGCCATTGAATTGGGAACTAATGGCACATTTCCATTGCAGCGGGGTAGCCCCGTTTAAGCGTCCCTAAGCATCCTCGCTCAGGCCTCGGGCTGCCTCTCTGGCCGTCCGAGGCCGTGGCGCATTTCCATTACAGTTTAGGACCTGGGGTAGCAACGCAGTGTAGGCGGGGCGATCGGCTTCTTTTTTTTTGCCAATGAGATGTAGGAACGTCGTCACCTCCTCGGTCGACCACGGTGTGCTTTTCTTTGACGTTGCCATTTTTGTAGCTCCTCCGTTTACAAAAATGCTGTGTATAAAAATGCTGCAAGCTTGCTTCTAGATATATATGCGACGCTAGGGATGATCTCGCATGCGATCTTGTGACGATTCTCTCTGACCAATCAGCAGTCGAGAGTGTTGACGTCACTAGTTCAGCCCTGGCCCTGATAGAACCACGATTTTATGGGGCCGGAAAAAGAGGGAAAAAGTACCCGCTAGCCGGTGCTACGCTATATGGAAAGGCCACCAAAAACTGGCCTGGCCGCTTGAGGACGCTTAAACGTGGCTACCCGCTCCAGTGGAAATGCGCCATAATTGTTGTGATGGATATTAATAGACTTTGTGATGTGAATGTGATTGTGAAACGAAATGGTGTTGTGAAATGTGTAAAAAGAAATAATTGATAGAACATTTCCCAAATTGAATGTACCTCCACACAATACAGTTATAATAACAAGTAATATAAATAATAACAAATACACTTTTATTTGTATAGCACATTTCAAACCGTTAAGAAGTGCTTTCCAATAAAAACATAACACATTTCAAACAGTCATTTAAATGAACTAAAAACCAGCAGAGTGGAGCAAACAAAAACAAACAATACAACAAAAAATCTAACTAATGCAATTTTTTTTAAAGTGGGTTTTTAAAAGTAACTTTTTAAAAAGTGCACTTTTTATCAGATATTAGTGTTGCATCATTCAAAACTGCTGCTATGTGTGTGTAATGTTGCGTTATTATTCTCCATACCATAGGGTGTTTTATAAAGTGAAGAGCCGAAGTGCCCACATGAAGAGTCACGCAGAGCAGGAGAAGAAGGCTGCAGCGCTACGTCACAGAGAGGAAGAGGAGCAGGCGGCGGCTGAAGCTCTGGCGAGGAAGGCAGCGTCGATGGCAGCGGCCGCGGCGGTGATGGTGGCGGCAAATCAGGGAGGAAATGGAAACGGAGTGACAGAGCCGGGGGAGGTCAGCAGCCAGGAAGACTCATCTGAGGAAGAGAATGACAAAGAGGATGACAAAGATGAAGACTGGCGCTGAGACAAAAAACAGGATAAAAGAGAAACCAAATGAGAAGATGGATTTGTGGGTAAACCGAGGGATGGAAAAAAGATGAGAGCACAACAAAGACAAGAGGAGTGATTTCAAGTCTTCCTGGTAATCTCCACACTCCTTATCCCTCGCCCACATCACACTCCAAAGCTTACACATTTTGTATCTTTTAAATATTCAGAGGAAGTTTATTTTTTGTAAATGCACTTATGCCCTATGCTTCTGCTTTTTGCCAATATTGCCTTTTTTATAACCTTTATTTAATTGAATATATGTCAAAAAATATTATACATTTTCATTGTGTGGACTTAATGGTTATATGATATTTCATAAGATAATCAGGATGCCTGTTAAGCGATAAAACATCAAGATCAAAGCAATTTTTCACTTTACAGTAGCAGCCCTTTTAAATTAAGATAGAATAAGAGTATTTATCTTTTTCTTAGGAAAATACTTTGCTGAGTATTGAACATTTCCATCAGATTCTTAGGTTGGTTGCACTCTTGTTTTTGTTTTTTTTACAACTAAGGGACCTTTGAAATAAATATGTATTATTAAAAACAAAGTATATGAGATGGCCATATATTTATGATACTGCATTTTTGCAATGATTTTGGTAATGTAAAACTAATCATGTCAGCTGCAATAAGATTTGTGAATTGAAAAGTTTATTAAAATCTCTACTGTTCTGAAGTGTGTCTTTTTTTCTCTGTCAGAAATGGTCAGTGTGTCATTGCAAGACTTTAAAGATCCAGCAGGTGGAGGCAGTGCTTCATGTGATGTTGGATATCTCCTTTGCACACATGGATGTAGATAAATAGTGAATGAATAGTCTGTATACTGTATATAAAGATAAACTGTCCTGTTAGTGGATCCATTTTATCACTTGACAAGTCTATGTCCTCAACATTTTAAAATGTTGCTTAAAGTTCACCTATTATGCAAAATCCACTTTTTCACGTCTCATGTGTCCCCTCTGTGTAAAGAGATTCTGAATGTTTCAGGAAAAAATATTTGCTCACTTGTCGTCCTGATCCATTTATATAAAAATCTGTCTGAAAATCAGCAGATCAGATTTTGGCCACTTTATGATGTCATAACGTTTTTTTGGCTTGTGTAACCATTAGCCAATCACCAACCAAGGCAACAACCGCCACCTTATCACCTGACACAGAATCAGCACATTTGAAACAGGGCTGAAACAGAGGGGTTTATGGGATGCTACAATGGGTGATCTGTTTGGTATTTCGAGGCAAACCCTTCAGAGACATGTTCTGTATATATCTGAGACCTATAATATATTGATGAAAAACAGTATAATAGGGGACCTTTAAAATAACACCCACATCTGTATCTGCTTAACAAAAAAGATTTAGCACCAGAACAAATACAATTTCAAATACTGTATGTATGGGTCTTATTCAGTATTAGTACGGCTCCACCATCATTTCCAACTTAAGGGGAGTGTGGTGAACACTGTCATTGATCAGAGCTGACATAACTCATCCATTTAAAGAGCGTGCTCAGTAAAGGGAAGTTTCGCCCTCAGGAGATGAGAGGTAAGGCCTTTTGCTGTGAGACCATGACTATGTCTGTCTCCCACTTAACGCTGAGATATTGGATTTTGTCAGCTCTTTTATTTTACCTGCAGAAATTAGCTGGAGAAGCCAGTTTTCGTATATCACTGCTTCTTGAGCCAAGAGCAAAACCCATTCTCTTTTCTGCATTTATGTGGTCCTTAAATTAAATAAGAATGCAGAAACACTTTGTCACCAAATGCAAATGTAGTCATTCTCTACATCGTTAGCCTCTGTAGGCAGCAGTGCTCTGAGTTAACGCCAAAAGAAGTATGCTACCATATTAAAGAGGCCCTATTATGCTTTTTGTGGTTTTCCCTTTCCTGTAGTGTACTATAGGTTGATGTGCATCTAAATGGTCTACAAAGCCTAATATCCAAACGTTCCCTCCAGAGGGAGTTTGTTTTGTGAGAGATTTCAGTCCTGACCAAAGTGGCTGCTCAATTTATTAATTATTCTGTCGGCAGAGATGTCACTGTGGGTTCAATTCTACTATATTTAGAAGAAGAAGAAGAATACATACTTTATTAATCCCTTACAGGGAAACTCTGTTGTGTACACACATTACACACACAGGGGAGGATATACAGTGGGGCAAAAAAGTATTTAGTCAGCCACCAATTGTGCAAGTTCTCCCACTTAAAAAGATGAGAGGCCTGTAATTTTCATCCTAGGTATACGAGACAAAATGAGAAAAAAAAAAAAAAATCAAGAAAATCACACTGTCTGATTTAAAAAAAATGTATTTGCAAATTATGGTGGAAAATAAGTATTTGGTCAATAAAAAAAATAAAAAAAAGTTAATCTCAATACTTTGTTATATACCCTTTGTTGGCAATGACAGAGGTCAAACGTTTTCTGTAAGTCTTCACAAGGTTTTCACACACTGTTGCTGGTATTTTGGCCCATTCCTCCATGCAGATCTCCTCTAGAGCGGTGATGTTTTGGGGCTGTCGCTGGGCAACACGGACTTTCAACTCCCTCCAAAGATTTTCTATGGGGTTGAGATCTGGAGACTGGCTAGACCACTCCAGGACCTTGAAATGCTTCTTACGAAGCCACTCCTTCGTTGCGGTGTGTTTGGGATCATTGTCATGCAGAAAGACCCAGCCACGTTTCATCTTCAATGCCCTTGCTGATGGAAGGAGGTTGTCACTCAAAATCTCACGATACATGGCCCCATTCATTCTTTCCTTTACATGGATCAGTCGTCCTGGTCCCTTTGCAGAAAAACAGGCCCAAAGCATGATGTTTCCACCCCCATGTTTCACAGTAGGTATGTGTTCTTTGGATGCAACTCAGCATTCTTTCTCCTCCAAACACATCTAGTTGAGTTTTTACCAAAAAGTTCTATTTTGGTTTCATCTGACCATATGACATTCTCCCAATCCTCTTCTGGATCATCTAAATGCCCTCTAGCAAACTTCAGATGGGCCTGGACATGTACTGGCTTAAGCAGGGGGACACGTCTGGCACTGCAGGATTTGAGTCCCTGGCGGCGTAGTGTGTTACTGATGGTAGCCTTTGTTACTTTGGTCCCAGCTCTCTGCAGGTCATTGACTAGGTCCCCCCGTGTGGTTCTGGGATTTTTGCTCACCGTTCTTGTGATCATTTTGACCCCACGGGGTGAGATCTTGCGTGGAGCCCCAGATCGAGGGAGATTATCAGTGGTCTTGTATGTCTTCCATTTTCACGCAAGATCTCACCCCGTGGGGTCAAAATGATCACAAGAACGGTGAGCNCCCATCACATCCTCTCTTCACTGGAGATGAATGGACCGCTGTTCGAGGGTCCATTTGCATAAACGAGAGAATAATGCTGCTGACTCCAGCTCAAATACTGACAGATGGGTTTAATTCCATTACTTGGGCTACTGTGCCGGGATGGAGAAGCGGCCGACCAGGATCAGAGCAGCGGGGTTCTTTTACGTTTACGGCTCTTAACCTGTGAAATGCTGGAGAGCTGTGGGTGAAGATGATAGACTGATAACCGATCGAGCGAGAGGTGTCACAGGTCGAGAAGTCAGCCTGGCAGATTGCATCCCTCAAGGCCGTTGACCAGACCTTGGAAATGAGCTGAGTGGCTTGTCAGTTATATGGCGGCTGGTGTTACACGTGCTGGTGTTACACGTGCGGTTTCGGTTTCGCATCAAGGACAGTTGACTGTAAGCAATGCTGCAGAGATTATCTGTTACATACAGCAAGAAGCCTTCATAGGACATTTAAGTGAAGCAGCTTCTCTTCGATCATGTGCTGAACAAGCTGAATCAAGTTTAATGCAGTAAATATAGCCTAATATTTACAGAAAACGCCAATAAAAGCCATGTAGGATCAATGCTATTTGTCTATTCCACTAAACGGCTGGCATTTTCGCAGACATTCACCATTTTGATCAAATTTAATCCAGTCTGCTTTTACGTTAATTTTCCCGCATAATCTTTTGCAAATGAGTGGTAGGCGTTATATAAAGCCTAATGTCATTTTTAGGAGGCAGATAGATAAGAATTAGTTGTAAGTGAAAACCCACGATTTAGACGATTTCTAATCTTTTAACATTATTTTTGGATTATTTTCACAGGGTTTTAAATAGCAAAAACCTGAAGTTAAACAACAATGAATCTACTTATTTTTAACCCCAGGAGTGAAAAAATAGGCTAAATGGTGGATAGAGAGGTGTTGTGCAGTCCCTTTATGAGCAAGGCTGTTTCCCGTGTTTCCTTCTGTTCACTTACCGTAAGTATGACATTGACCTGCAGCATTTGAGGTCATATCAAGAAAATGATCAAAGTTTTATTGCTAAGAGGCTGAACATAAATAATCTTAATGTACATTTCTGCTTTGCATCGGGCTTAACCTCGGCCCCGCCGGAGGAGAAACATTGATTCCATCGTTTGTCTTCCACACATTTAGTGACATTGATCCAGAGTTTTGCCCTTGTCTCCCTCTCCATCTGGTAATGTCTTCATGTTCTCCTCTATCCCTAACCTGTTTTACTGTATCCATGTAGCGTGGTTTCTAATGGGGCTGTATTAGCGTGTGCACTGCTCAGTGAAGATAATTGATGCTCACTGTAAACCTCTAATGCTTCATCACAAACCCTGAGAGAAAAGGGATCCTCTGAAGATATTAAAACACCACAATGCCAGTAGCACTTCCCTGCAAACATATATCATTTGGAGAATAGATCAACACTGAGCAGCCTTATACATGGAGTTTTTGATTTGACTATTAAAAAAAGAAAAAGGGTTAATAAGCTCCAAGCAAGCCAACACTTATTCTTCCTTTATTCTACATCAGAACATAAAGAAGAAACACATTGGCACATAAAGTAGTTTATTTAAGTTCATTCATCTTACATTTGTTTCATTTTATTTTTTGATAGTGAAACAATTTATCTCTAACCTTCCCACACCAATCATTTCTATACAGTCGCTAAATGTGACCATGATTTCAGCCAGAGTAATGTCCAAATCACAATCAGTGTGTGCATGTATATCCTCTGTGTTTGTGCATGTACAGTGGGGCAAAAAAGTATTTAGTCAGCCACCAATTGTGCAAGTTCTCCCACTTAAAAAGATGAGAGAGGCCTGTAATTTTCATCCTAGATACACTTCAACTATGAGAGCAGAATGGGGGGAAAGAATCCAGGAAATCACATTGTAGGATTTTTAATGAATTAATTGGTAAATTCCTCTGTAAAATAACTATTTGGTCACCTACAAACAAACAAGATTTCTGGCTCTCACAGACCTGTAACT